CAAAGCAGCATTACAAAAACAAGTATCAGATGAGTAATCTTGTAAACCATGAAAAAGATTTTTTTATAAAAGCTGAATGGCATTTTCATGCTACTGCACACGGTAAGGGCGCTTGTGATGGCGTTGGAGTTATCTTTAAACGAGAAGTATATCGGACTAACCTTCAAGTTGATTGGACAAAAGCTATGCTTATATCAACATCGCTATTCGAACGGGCAGTGAAAAAATTGAACAATATAAATTTTTATTACTATAGTACGAAGTAGCATGAAAAGATTTAAAGACATCTGGCTAAAAGATTTTCTGCAGCTCCAGCAGTAACAGATATATCCAAATTACATGCATTCATAGTGAATCCTGATAAGAAGTTGAACATTTTATGGTATTCCAAAGCCTCTGAAGTAATGAGTATTATGCAGTATTAGGGGTTATCAAAATTACGAGCTATTTGACTCTTTTCTTTTAACTAAGACATAATAACACATTAACATTATTCTTTGTACATAATGAATGTTTTGCATTACTTGCCACTACTAACATTCTTTACGTATTAAAAATATGGGTATGAAAATCAATCCTCGAAATGATTGATTATTGTCTTGCTTGGCTAAGACTGTACAGTGTTTTATAAGAGCTTGTGTGTACTATCATTAGTATAATATTCTTTTGCAATAAGAAGTTATAATATTATATACAGCCCCCCCTCTCGGCTTCGCCCGAGACTTACTAAATAAAACACCGTAGTGTGTTGACATGTAATGTGAAACGTTTTCAGTTAGAAATTTTACAAATATTCCTGACACATCTCAGAACAAAAATTTTCTTATTAAAAACATATTTTTTCGGAATCCATATAGTTTATTTGGTCAAATAATAAGGTGTAAGAATTCAAAAAAATAATTATGCTGAAAAGTACCGTACGTTCTTCATGCCATAAAATAATCGGTGGCCATAAGAAGCCGTTGATTTACAGTTTCTCCCGTGTAATTCACGAAAAGGGCTAGTTTTATAAGCTGTTAAGATTTTAAACCCCAAAAAAATTTATAATAAAACAAAATTTTTTTCCTCATATCTCACAATTTTATTACCAGAGCAACAAAGTCCTGGACCTTAAACCCTACATTTTTATTGCCACAAAAACACAAATACATTTTCTACTTATTTAGAAATCTGAGGTAGGATCTTTAAAGATTTCAGAGATTGCTGTGAGGGTACAATGAAAAGCTCATCTCTCACGTAATGGATTCTTTATTTGTCGACTTTGACGCTGCTGTTCCAATCTCGATAAATTTTCTGCGTCAGTTTCTTGACGCCTGAAATTGTTATTATTAGATACATTTAAGTTTTTCTTCCGATTCACCCCTTTGCGACTTTTGGCATGCTTAAAATTTTTGTGACCCCTAAAATCTGTTTTCTATCAACTTTGTTAAGTTCTAATATATTTGCTGGCAAGGTAGTTCGACGTCCGATGGCCCTAAAAAAGACCGGTGAGCTTTTTAAGTTAACTCTTTCTTGACTGCAGTTAACAGCAATTGTGACTGCCTGGATACCTTAGGGTGATCTTCTCTGGACTGCTGTTGAAAACTCAGACTGATTGAGAGAAAAATTACAAAGTCCGAAGCTTTGGGGCTAGTTGTAGTGCTCTTTCCCAACGTCTCCCGGTATAACGTCGAAGACGTTGGTGTCTAAAGCCCCTTTTTATTTGCAGATTCAGTTGTTTTGGTGATCTTCGATGGGGAGATTGGTTAGTGATACTTGTCCAGTGGAGGCTGTCCCGTTGGCTCAATTTTTTTTTCCTTCATAGCTGTTATAGGTTTGCCCAGCGCAGACCTTGGAGAGGATCAGTGATTCCGGGTTGAATGCTTAGAGTCGAGAGGGTAGTATAGGGTCGTCGGTCACCGGGTTTTCCAGCCTTGCGAAGAGCAACTCCGCAGGTGACGTCTGCTAGTGAATGGCTGACTTAGTTTAATAGTGCCCGTCTTTAGTTAATATAGTCTTTGAGTCGACGAATCGCTTCCGGAAATGGTAGTAAAAATGTATTTGTTGGCAAGGTAGTTTACACTTAGGTGGCCCCTAAAAAGAACCAATGAAATTGATGGTGAAGTAGGGAACGTAAATACTTATAATGGCCCTAAAAAGCGCCAGTGGTGAAACTTCCAGCTATTCTTTATTATTATTCCTGATGATGAAGAGCTGGCTACGGGTAGCTTGACTTTTACCCTCGGAGTCTCTGTGTACGGAGACTGTGATGGAGGGAAAGGTACGCCGCTGACCAAAGAATATCTCGTCTTCGGATCGTTCCCCGGATAACCAACCGCTCATGGTTAGACGGGAACATGTGGGTAAGCGCGTTGGGGACGCGACGACTAAGAAGGTAGTCGTTGTGGCTGCCCGTGCCCCTCAGAGCTGTTTTTCCTGGCTTACATTTGTAGCCAAAAATTCTCTGACTGCGCCAGGTGGGATGGTGGGACTGCCACACAACTCTGAAGAGTTGGTGCAGATTGTGCTCTGGCTAGATATGTCTCCTGATATTATGCCAGAGACGTCATCGGTTAGAATGTACATTTTTTTTATCGCACTCGTCGAGATTCAGGGTGAATGGAAACCTAGGTCCCTTCCCCCTTACAGAAGAGTGTCGTCCGTAACCGGGATATCCAGCTGCAAGACTATCATCAGCATTCTCTATGCAGCTCGGTGAACTGCCGAAGCACGACTGCATCACTATCGAGACGCTCCGGCGTATTATAACCACACTTATTTGATTCTGTTGCAGGTAGCCTCGAATTTATGTTGACGCCACCTAGCGGATTTTACTGAACTAAAGTGAAAAGCTGGCATATTTTTGCAAAACTTTGAGCTCATTAATTGCTATTGTTATAATTTTTTAAGATAAAAACTTTACTAAAACCATCTAGGAAGTATCATGAATCAGTGTGCAAAATTTCAGCAAAATCGGTTTAGTAGTTTTCGCGGTTAGCGATTACAACGGTTTTAGCGACTTTGCTTTATATATTAGTAAGATTTGGCTCGTTAGTTTTTTTAGAACCATAATAAAAACACTTATATAATTACAATTTACTTTCAAGTCGATATGTAAATCCTCATTAATTGATCTTATTACTGTCATAATACTTGTTTTTTACTAGCGTACGAAAAAAACTTCATGCTGATCGAGATTTAATTAGATTTCTAGGTATGGAGTTACGAGCGTGTCATTGCGATTAAAGAGATAAGCTTCATTTTAAAAGAGGTTGAAAATGATACGGTACTTTTTAAAATTTGAAAATTTGTTTTGAAAATTTAGTGGCCATATTGGATCCGCCATTTTGAATTTTTAACATCTGACGTTGTATTTGTCACTAGCCACGTTCTAATACCAGAGTGTTTCATAAGCTTGCCTGATTTGCTGATTGTCAATTTCTTCCTATATAAGACCAATATCAAAGATTTTATGAGGCAAAATTTTTTTAAATAATTTATGAATTTTTCTTAAAAACAACAATTTTATTAAAAAGTTAGTAAGAGACACTTCTTTCTTAGAATTTCACGAAGAATATCGTGGTATTTTTTTTATTAAAAATTCGTTTACTTTTGAAAAGTTGGCGGCTATATTGGATCCGCCACTTTGAATTTTTAAAAACGTCAGGTAAATATTTGAAGCGAATAAATAGACTAAAAATTTAAGCCCAAAAATAATTTTCTAGGTCTCGATGATTTCTGGTCATTTAGGTGGCCCGGTTGACGTGAAATGTCCGATATATATACACATCATCTTAGACCTTCAACAATATCTTTAACATTCCTATCATATCTTTGCAATACCAATTGAGAACAAGATATAAGTTGAGTGGCAGAAATAAATTACTCAAGATTTCTAGTAAATTAACATTAATAACAACAATCAATTCAAGTTAATTTAACGGAAATGTTTATCATCGTTGATTCAACAGTAACGAAATCTAAAATTAACGATACTGTGTTATGTAAAAATACGTAATAATGAAGCACAAGAACTAAGCATATTTAAATATTTATTTAAATAATTAAAGAAATAGATAAAAGGAGTAATAAATAAAAAAAATCAGCCACAGTTATTATAAACGTTGAGAAACCTTACAATTTGAAGAGATCCAAACTATTTTCGTGATATCGGTTTCCTATGATGAGTAAGCATTGTATATGAAAGTGCCGTATAGTCAATACTATATACTAGCTGCGATTGACCTAACGGAAAAATATAATTTATTTTTAATTATCTCTGGAACTTGGATTTTACTCCATGCGTATAATAGTGACTTGTGGCGCTAGTCCCCCCCCTTCTTCCTAACAACCCACATGGCAAATAATTTAGTTTTTATTCATTTTAAAAATAAATCGATGGTTTTACCCATGCCTTAGCAATGTAGTTCAGAGGTACACTATCTGAGTCAGTCCTCATGTTTATATACCTAGACATCTAGTTTGAACTCCAGGAATACCAATAACATTCTTAAATAATTTAGTTATGATGGTAAATCAACATTAAAAACAACAAAGAATCAATGTTGAATTAACGAAAATCTACGACGAATCATTGATTTAACATAAACAGAATTAACAGTTTTTGATGTAGTTTGCGGTAAGAATTAAAAAATTAAACACAAGAAGTAAGTATATTTTAACATATAGATCAATAAGTACATAAACAGAAAAAAGATATCGTGATCTTAAACATATAAAAAAATTCATCATGAAATAAACGTTGACTGAACCCTTCATTTCAGTGTTGAAATAACATTGATTGACCAATATTAACATTTTGAATCTATGTAAAAAATTAGTTTCTGAAGTGGAAACAAAGAAAAAAAAGCATCACTGTATCAAGGGTAAAAAGGTTTGTAAAGCAAATTTTATTAATTTACAAATTTATCTTTTATACAATTTAAGATAGAAGATTCAGAACGAAATCATATAACCTATAGTTGTTTAATAATTTCATTGTTTGTACATCCATTATATTAGCTTAATCGCAATAGAACATATGATCTATAGTATGGTATTAAAACATGAACTAAAAGTGTGAGAAAAAAACGAATGTAAAAACAATAGGTGAAAATGTAAATAAACCAAGTTTTGACATATACATAATTTTCTGCTAGATTAAACGGCATATTTGACAAAATGTTGTATAGCTTGCATCTGAAACTGACTTTTTTAGATTAAAACTTTACTTGAGAAAAGAATAATCTTCTTTAAGAACACAAATCAAAACGTAGGGAAGATGCATTGACTTTTAAGCAAGGCTAGGCTTGTGGCTCTCAATTAATTGTTTTACAAATTGAACAGTGCTCTCATATCCAATATTATTTGAAGTCTCATGGTATACGTCATGAACTTCTATCAAAGGTTTGAATTCCAAACTTTTTTTGCCAACAATTATCACAACGGGATATCCAGTTTTTCGTGCTTCTACAAAACGTTTTCCAATCGTCATTTGAGTTCTATCATCCATGATAGTGTCTATGTTGAGATTTTGAAGTTGATCGTATAAATCATAAGCTAATCGAGATGATATGTCCTCATGACTGCCCGCCTAAAAAAAATTAAAGTTACATCAATGACATTTTTAAATTTAAATTAAAAAAAAATACTTTTCTTGATATAGAAATCATTTTAAAAGACATGTCAGCAGCTGACTTAAATGTATTTTACTATAAATTTTCGTACCCAGAACGTACATTTAAATACTTGCCGTTATGTCTCTTAGAATTGTATACCTGCATTGCATTAATGAGACGCATGGCATTAATTATCCACATAAGTTTTCTAAGACAAGCAAACGCATGAAACCTTAAAAAACTGAATTAAAAATAGATATCTAGTCATGAGAGAGCTTATGATATTTATGTATCTTAGCATTTAAACTACCTTATGAAAACATCTTTTTACAATTACAAAAAAATAAGCGATAGGAAACAGCCTCACACTCTCACTCTAACTTAATCTTATAAATGTTATAAGAGTGTGAGTATATTTTAATATAATTTTCCTAATTCATATTTAAACATACCGCCAAACCTAAGCTATTGTTAATTTAAAACCAAGTGCCATTAAAAAGTATAAACGCGCTTTCATACTCAAGGTGTAAAATGGAGATACGCCTTATGCTTACACCTTGTAGCTCTTCTCATCAAGCAGCGGAGCTCCGAGCGCCATGTTATGGGTATAAAAAGCCTTCTTCAGCATGAGCTAGCCACTATTCATTAGGCTTAAGCTTGAGTCTATAATTACTGCATGAGCTCTGCTCTGTTACAATTACGTATTTGAAATAAATGATACTATTGATATATTTATTTACAACTAATCTTTTTAACTAAATACACTGATAAGATAAGATAGGTGGCGACAAGACAATTGCATGTCTTGTAGCTTATCTCATTCACCAGTGATCTTGTTAACACAAGACTTGTAATTAGCGGATCTCTTAGGCAGTATGATTCTTTAGGTTAGGAATCGTTGCATTGGCTAATTTTCTAGGCAGTTTGTCCTGGTAGCGATTTTTAAATAGTGACGAATCATCATGCCTTTACAAGTATTAACAAGAATAATCTTTGTGTACTAAAAATGCACCAATAACCCAAGTGGCATCGTAATCCTAGACTGGGGCGGTACGAACCTGACTTTGGCCCCCCAAACTCCTCAGTATCATATTATTTATACTACAATTAAATTATTGAATAAATATATTAATATCAGGTGTCACGCAATCAGATCATATACCTAAATTTAATTTTATTTTTGATACCTTATAAAGTTTACATTGTACATGTATTTAGAGACTTGTATAACAACATTTGATTTTTCCTTATAAGTTGCAAAGTTTTAAAGGTATAAAGTCTCGTTCGTATAATTTGTATCACAAATAATAACACCTCTTTCCCGAATAAAAACTTTTAACAACATTTTACTAACGATAATTTTGCTGTAAGTGAAACAAAGGCATTGCTCTTCTGTCAATAAAAATAAATTCAGACGAGTAAATTTAATTGAATTATAAGAAGCTTTTTCCGATAGTAAGAAAATCTTTAAGCATTATCGATAAATCCTTCCCAAATTAATATAACAGTTTGAAATATTTTAAAATAAATAAGTAGTTTTGTGTAAAGGCTGCATTACATTTAACAAAGGGCTAAAAATACTTACAAGAACATCATAATTTTCGAACAGTTAAATAAAAAGTTCTGCCACAAGTAGTTTAATGAGTATAAATTTTATAAAAATAAAAATTAAAGAATTTTTAATTCAACAGTTATCAGTGCAAGATTAAAAATTAATAAATACAAGTTCATACCATTTTTTTTAAATGATAACATATAATCATATTTTTTATAATTAAAAAGCTACATACACATCTAATTCTATGACTAGCGTACTATTTATATCTGTACTATGAAGTTTTTTATTTAAATTTGAAAAGTTGTCCCACGGCACTTAAAAAATGAGAAATGAAATAAATTCTAGTCTCCAGGTCAAATGGAAACATAAATTAATTTTGTCAGTAGTTAGTGACTACATTTTTAACTTTAAAAAAAAACATTAAAGGTGAAGAAAATGGTCAAAGAATTATGGGAGAGGAGAGGGCTAAGACACATGACAATCATAAAATATGTAAAAAATGAGCGAATAGAGACGTACATTAATGGAGGGCTGAGGCTGTGTGCGATGGGGGCAAAAGTTAAGTCCGTATAACAATGTTAGTTGAACTTAATTATTGAAAGTATCGTATGGAATATTATATATAATATTATCTAAATTGCATATTTGTCTTATTCATAAATATTATAGGAATTTATTTGCTTAATAGAGTTTTAAAAAATAGATTAATGTGCATACATATGTACTGTAAAGAAGTATGTGTACATATAAAGTTTCATAAATTAATCAAAATTAGGAACTTTAACAGCCTAATTTGTGTTGAACCAAATTGTTAACTAGACGGGGGATTTGTATTAACTTTGCTGGGGCTAAGCAAAAAATTATTCCTATTATAAATAACAGTAATAATGTACAATCTTTCTCTTGTATTGCGGGGGTGAGGCTAAAATAAAGCTTCTAAGTTTTTTTTAGCAGCAGTACTAATTTCATAATAAAAATAAGGAAATTCATAATAAATAAACATGTACAAAACTCACAAGAGACCATGGTAAGTAGCGAGAGATATTTAAGTCAAGCTTATGTTCATGTCACATTAGTTTTTCTGATAAATAATGTTGAAACATGAAAAGAATATTTGTAACATCATGAAAATATCAGATACAAAATTTCGGAATGTTCCACTATGTATATTTTTAAATATCTTATTTAAAAAAAAATCTCAATTGAACATGTAATCTTATGAAAGAATCACTTAGAATGTATATGTCAGAAAGTTGTCCGTATTGTTCTCCTATATTTATTTTTTGCATGATAGGATAGTCTGATAAGAAATTACTTCATTTTTCAATACTCTCGTAATCAAACTTTTCGTGTTAGTTATGTTTTTTGTTTTTGGTAATTGATTCTCCATAGAACATTTGTTTTACTCCAATGTAAAAATTTTTTGCTGTATTTTCAAAGCTTTTTCTCTTTCTATTTCAATCTTTTTCTTTTTACTAAACAAGTTATTTGCGCATCAACTGTCGTGCGGTTTGTAAGTATGGGGTTATGTTTACCTACGCTCACCACGAAAATACGAGCTCAATCAGTTAATAAGCGCGTTGTGCCAAATACCATGTAAAACAATTACTTACTTAATAAATCCATAAATATTTATGTTTGAATTGCATCCACATTTCCGTCTTTTTTAATTATTCAAATTGAAAATTTATTTTACATCAACAACTCTTTATTTTGAGCAAGTAATTGTCAGCTTTTAAAAATCCACAGTCATACGGCAGAGTAGGGTGATAGGTACACTTATCCCTATGTTCATACGAACAAAATGATTGCCAGCGTTGCAGTGTGTTTACGCTCCTCTCACTTCCCTAAAATTTTTCCCTACTAACTGTAATGATCGTTACGAGGAGCACTAATATATGTAATTAGAAAGTCTTTATTTCCTTTCAAAAAACTTCCTTAGCGCGGCTCACGAGTGCCAAAACATCTACCTTTTAGCCCTTACAATTTCGAAATTGAAACTAACTTAAAATATGTTTTCAAAATACGATTGAGATTAATTTTTTTGTCAGCTGTCCATTGTAAATATCGGTTCTCTCAAAAAATGAGTTCAATTCAATCAACGTACGTGCGATACACCAAAAAGGCGTGTCGTCTTGAGACGTCACTTGTACTAAAGTATATGAGAAAGAGGTTAGGTTAACATTTTTACTTTATGGTTTTGATTTCATCGTTGCATTGCAGAGGAAATAAATAAATTTAAAAAAAAGGTATACATAATACGTATACTAATGATTTTCAAGAGTAATGAAAAAAACGAGAAAAACCAATCTGCAAATAAAAGTCTATTTAAAATTATATTCATATGTCCTTAAATTAAATATTTTATTCATAAAACTATATATTACTTTGAAATACCTAAACCACATCATACAGCTAACGTTTTTGAGGCTTATTTCATAATTTCTTTGTTTTTACTTTTGTACTACTAACGCATTCAGATTTTTTTTGTACTTTTTATTACTTCAGAATTTTTTTTTACCTTTGGAAACATATTTTAAGTGGCAGATAAAGATGTATTTTTAATCACAAAATAGCTGTTATCCATTAAATTAATCGTATTACAATTTAAGGAACCTGGAAAGGTTATGCATTTTTGGAGCCGAGATTTTAGTTCGAAGAAAATTAATTTATATTTTAGTTTTCTACTGAAAACAGTATTGGTTTCCTAACACTTATTTTCTGACTACGAATACAAAGCTTTAGCAGAGATAATATAGTGATTTTAAGTTAGCCGATAACTCGCGTTCCATGTACTTCCTTTTAAATTGACACCAATGCCATTAACTGCGTGTTTGCCATAAACGGTGAAAAGAAATTTTTTTTCACAGACAAAATTGTTATATCATCTTATGATTGTGCAAATAAATCAAACTAATTTACCATAACTATGACAACATTACGGAAAATCGCAGCAATTCAGCTCTAACACTAAGAATCACTTCACTAACTCGACTTGCATCTTACATTAAACGTAAAAACCAATAAACACGATCATACTTAGATATTTTATACTTCCAATAGGTATGCAAGCAAATACTGATACGTTTATATCATTATCAAGAGGCGCATATGTATAGATGGCGGCCCCTTTTTTACATATGCATTTATAATATCATCCATACATGCCCTTTCTCAATATCAAATATACTAAGGATTCATAATACTAATCCACATAATATTTTTTTAATATTTGCTTGTCTTGCGACGTCACTTGTATTGAAGAGTAACGTATAAAAAAAGCAAGGTTAAATAAATATAATCGTAGGTATATGACTCTAATGCTTGTAGGGAAGTTAAAAATACATTTTTATCGTCGTATCAAGAGGTGCATATGTATAGATGGCGTCAAATTTTTTTAAATAAGCACTCTTAATA